GACATGTGATGTCATTTTTTTTTTCTGTTAAAGCTTGTGTAGCTGATCTTTGTTTTTGCGATATGGTTTGATTTAAGGTTGGGGGAATGTGGGGGTGCTGACACTCCCTGACGTGTCTCGCCCCAAGGCCGCATTTCGGGTGACGATCGCCGGGCGATAGATGGCGTTGTGTTCGCGTTGAGTACCACTGTTGGTAGAGTAGTAGCGCCAGCGGTGACCCCTGGCAAAAGGCAGGCCTTGGTGGCAGGCAAGAGTTGAGCGAGCGAGCCTCTTTCGCGCGTGGCGGCTGCCGCGGACGGTTGTCTCTAGCATGGGTCCGGCGCGTGGCACCGCAGGCCTGCGCGCCGGGGGCCCACGTGGTAAGTCAAGCGTTGGCGCCGCCGCCTTGGGTGAGTTATTGTGTCTGTCATGTTACTGTATGTTTTGTCGTGTTAGTGTGTTTGTCATGAAGTGGATGTCCTAGCGTGTTCATAACGATATGTATCATTCGGCAGACGATATCGTTGTTCAAAAGTTAGTTAAAGAAATGTATGTAATGTTTAAGTTTAAGGTGATTCGTAAGAGAGAAAGGAAGAGAAAAGTGAGCCCCGTAACTGTCTGCTTCACTGAGCGGCACCTCAACAGTAGCTCACAAGGGATGGGGGTGAGGAGGAATAAAGGGGTAGGAGAAAAGGTGTAGAAAAGAGGAAGAGACGTGAGATGGTAAGCCAGAAGGAGCCTAATGTAATGTATGTAATGTTTGTTTGTAATGTAATGTATGTAATGTTTGTTGGTTTGTACTGACCGCGTCTGCTGTGTCTGTTCACTCCAAGAGCATGGCGAGATGCTCGCCATATCGATACCCCCACGGTATCCATATATATGTTAATGAACACGTAATTCTAAGTACATACATTTTTTTAAGTTGGTCTTTTGTGTGACCACAGAGTGGTCACATTCAGAGCTATAAAGTTTAGTGTACTGTAAAGTAAAAAATAATGACCCCATCAAAAAAGTGCTTCCTATGTTGTGTAGCTGGTGCTTTCTAGTGTTGATCCCTATGCTATTTGTAAATTTTGGACTGGTGGTTATTTTTCCATTATAAGAGGAACAATAGATCTTGTTATCCAAATTAAATAATGAACTAATAAAGCTACAGAAAAAATAACTACATTTTGAGATTCTGGAGAACAAACAGAGTAGGCATGCCAACTTCTGTCACATTCGGTTCAAAAATAAGTGAGAGATCCCTAAGACCCACGTCTCTCCTTAACCTACTGCTGCGTGCCCTCGGAGCTCATAGATCGCTATCGCGTTGCCGCGACGCGGTTTTGTGACCAGCGGTTGCGGCAAGTGGTAGTTCATTTTACAATGTCTATGCGCTTAGCTGCGCACGTGCCTTCACAAGCGGGAATATTCTTCCACAAAAGAAAAAAAAGTTGCTTCATCGTTCATTTTCGCCATCACTGTGCATGCAAGTCAAGGGCTTAATTTGGAATAGCCGCCGCCACCAAGTTCTGCAGGCACTACAGGTATCCGCAGGAGAGAGGGCTACAATGTGGCCAGAGACTCATCCGAAATTTCGCTACATCCCCTGCTGCACAGGGATCGTTTGACAGGTCAGAGAAATGATTCTTGCCTCCCCTGAGGAGCTGTGGGGAGGTCGCGTCGACACACAAGCCCGTGATGTTATCATGTGATGCACCATTCTCGCTTCTCCTACCGCTTTGCAAAACATATCAAATGTTCAGCCGTTTCCTTATCGTATATTGTACATCTTATCGTATGTCGTTTATCGCATATTTCTTTCTTTTGCGATTTCCTACTTAAAAGTTGGATAGATCTCCAGTGCTGATTTTGTAAGCATTCCAACCTTCCACGTGCCCCTCTCTGTCTCCTTCACGTGTGTGCGGGAAAGCGCGCCACCTAATGGATGCATCATGGATGCATCGCCAAGTGGCTGCAAGTTTTCAAATGCACGCGCGCCGCTTCACGGTAATCACACTTCAAGTATTCTAGGCACTGTAATCACCGAAGCGACCATGAGTGCTGGATTAACGATCAAGCAAGTGCACACCTTGAATTCCAGACATCGATTCCGGAAACAAATGGATCGTTGTAGCAACTGATTACTTGACCCGCTATGCCGAGATAGCAATATTCTTCTTTGAGAACATTGTCCGGCGTCATGGTGCCCCAGAGGTCCTCATTACCAACAGAGGTACTGCCTTTCACTGCGGAGTTAACTCGGGCGATCTTGGCAGACAGCCAGACAAGCCAACGCAGGAAGACAGCGTACCACCCACAGACCAATGGCCTCACCGAGTGGCGAAACAAGACGATTGCCAACATGCTGGGGATGTACGTCGCCATTCAACACAAGACGTGAGACACCACCCTTTCATACGTGACCTTCGCATACAACACGGCGATGCAGGAGACGACACAGATGTTGCCATACAAGTTGGTCTACGGAAGGGACCCCTAACGACACTCCCAATATCCCATGCTGCCCAATATCACTGACGAAGAAAACCTCTACGTGACTGTCTACCTTCACCACGCCGAAGAAGAATGACCACTCGCCCGCCTCTGCATCAAAAACGGACAGACGATTGAGAGCCGCCGTTACAATCTTCGATGACACTTCACAAAACACCGACCCAGTGACCTTGTTTGGGTGCAGACGCCGATACGGTGACATGGACCGAGCGAAAAACTTCTGCAACAATACTTCGCACAGTACAGGGTAGTTAGACGTATCGGCCTACTAGACTACGAGTTAGTCCCCGACACATCAGGAACTTTCAACGGCGCCATGCACGGTCTGAAGTCGTTCATGTCGTGGCCCTCAAGCTGTTTCATGCACGTTAACGAAGCTAAGGTCTGTATTATTTGTTGTTTCTCTGTTATTGTGCTTTCTAGTTCATACTTATTATTTCACTTTATCCTCCTCACTCCCAAGAATGCGCCAATGCAAAAAGCTTTCGCAAAAGTGTATTGTTTGACTCCCTGTTCTTAAAAACAAATGCAGAAAAATTACGAATACGAAAAGCTAAACGGTTGTCTCAAAATGTGACGGTACCCACTTGCGTACTCCTGATCTTTTGAAGTCTCTAAAACTGAGTGCAACAAAAATATCAGACCGACATGACTTTCAATATGATCTACAAGGTGTTGTCTACAGTTAAAGCAATGCACTATAGATGATGTCGTTCACGCTAAAACTAAGAAAAAAAGCTTTCCCTCACCACAAAAACACAGCCGCGTGCTCGTGCAGCACTCAGGCATCTTCGTTTGCTCATTTTCCGAATATGACCAGACACATGGTGCCACTTCTCAGCGCTTCGTGAAAGCAACTCATCCTTACTGTGTCAAGACAAACTGAAACAAGTGAATATCGAACTGTGATGATCAGTCGCCTTTAAAGCAATGGTACCCAATTGGGTACCCAGGGACTGAGGAGGTTATTGCTGTTATTTCTACCGTTTATGTATTTTTTCCCATGTTCTGTTTCAAGCATCGGGATGACGCTTTTTTCTGAGGGGGGGGGGGGGGGGGGGGAATGCCACGCGTTTTTTTTATTTTCACTTTTGTTTGATTTGGTTTACGCCCACAATGCCTGGGTCAGAAATGCTCAACTGTTGCTCAATTGTTGGAGATCATTTTGTTAAGATTTCCCGCAAGACACGAATACTCGAGATTATTCTAGAGCTTGCCTGAAGACCAGTGATCACTGCGCTTCCTCGCTTGTCAGTTGATCGATGGTCGATGCTCTGTTCGCTGCTATCAATGCCAGCGCCTTGCTGTAATCTTTCCTTTTACGTGACTACAAGTTCGGCCCAATAAACCGTTTGACCTGAACACCCAGTCTCCTTCCTTCGTCTGCGTTAAGACCCCGTGACAATATGATCATTAAAGACACCACAGTGGATGGCTCCAGAAATTCAGACCAGCTGGTGCTAATTAATGTGCATTGACATTGCACTGAACACAGGTATACAACATTTCACCTCCATAGAAATCCAATGGCCAGAGCCGGGATCAAACTCGCGACCTATTGGTCTGCGGCGAAGCCCCTTAACCGCTACAGGGCTGCGTCGGACGCTGTGATGGGTGACGTGACGGCAAAGTTGCAATTGGAAGCTCTCTATCGTGCAAGCATGCACAATTTTTTTGAGTGATACACGAAAGCAAGCTCCTCTTTCATGGGTTTATTCCATGTTCTTAAATGGTTCCAGTGTTTGGCACGCATTTTCGCAAGAGTGGAAACACTGCACGCTACAAAAATGGACAATATACTACACGGAAAAATCTGGTGACTCGTTTCTGTTCTAATACTGAATTGCATGCACAACTGTAAAAGCATTTGTCAAAGATTGGATGATTCACATAATTCATCGCCATTACTATGCCTTATCATCAACCTCAGCCTGTTCTTATTCCAGTGCAGTAGGACAGCCTCGATCTCTAGTTTAAGCTATCATCTTGTGTGAGCTCATCCTATTTTACCACTTCATCACTTAATCTTACCGATTATGTTGCCCTTACTGTAATACATTCATCCTCTTGAAAGGTGAACTTATCAGCTGGTTGTTTGAACATGTATCAAGAAATACATGTTACATGAAAGACCGGGACAGGAAAGACGGATATACAGCCACATGTAGCACTGTATGTGTGTCTTTAATGTCCTGGCTTTTTGTGCTGTTTTTCCTACGATCACTTTGCAGATTGGCTGACAAGGCAAGAATCTCGATACAGAAGCCTGGTGATAGTGAACGGTAATATGTCAGACTTGCTAACTACATGCTACAGCTATCAAAGCACACAAATCTTACGAAGCAAAAAAAAAAAAAAACAATATTCTACACAGAACATAAAAACTCAAGGCATCTTTGCACTAGTGGTGCCAATGTCTTAACTTCTGTCTTTTCCTTGGCTATGTTTTTTTTAAAGGATAAAAAACCATAGTCCCTATTGTCTTCTGCAAGTGAAAGGAACCATGAAAGAGCACCTACCGTACTTGAGCCGAATGTACTCGTGCGGGTCTGTCTTCCACAGTTCATCGTCCTGATCATTGTGGCACAGCAAGGGAAACACCACCTCTAGCACTATGCCCTAGGTGTAAAGAGCAGGCAAGAGAAACCGTCAGTTTCAGAACTTCTTTTTCTCAATGCTCAAAATCACAGCACCACACCACTTTTCTGGGAAACAAAAAACTTTAGGAATACTAGCTATCATTATATGTCTCCTCTAATCTTCTCAATAATAATAAAAAAAAAACGAGGCTGATCTCTTTGTATAAAAATCGGTATGAGACGAAAATGAGACATGTCTTCATAGAGGTAACTGAGCATTGTTTCAGCCACAGCAACCAATTGCAGTCACGTTAGGAACGGCAAGCAGCTTTAAACTTGCAGCGCACACCTCAAGCAGATAGCATGCACAAAATTGGCATACACAGGACACAGACCAACAGCCGCAATTCTACTTGCATAATATGTCAGCAGCGTGCTGTTTTCATATATGCGGCCGTAATAGTGCGCAGAGTGACCTTCATCCTCTCCCGAATTACGAGTCTGGTAAGACTGCTTGCAGAAGAGACCACGCTTCATGTGACAGTGGAAGCGGTGACCTTGAGAGCATGTCAAATCATCGCGCAATCTCGTCACTGATAAGGAAAACACGCTAAAGTTTTGAAGCTCTGAGGACTGCCATACGGTGTGTGGTGTATATAAATGGCTTGCCATTAGCACACCAGACAACATACGCTTTGTGGCATTCCGTGCAGTTCAATTCCGGACAGCAGATGTTTGCCTTCTAATTTTCTTCTTTGCAATCTGTTGGTATATATTTTTCAACGTCACTTCCGTAGCGCAAGTACCGTAATTACTTGAAGGTAACGCGCACCTTTTTTCTGGTTAGGCGAGTTCATAAATCGCACGCGCGTTAGAATCGAGTACGAAAAAAAAAAATGAATACGGTCATTCTATTGCCATCGGCATTCCAAAATGGCCGCCCCCTACGTGCGTCGGCATGGCGCGTCGGCCATTTCTGCCTACGTGTTTCCCATGTGCGGCACTTCGTACGTGTGCTGAGGAGTTCCTCATGTTGGTGTGCGTTAAAACCGACGGCATAGAAGGGCCGACTCCAAAAACTCGACGTGTGCACCACGATGCCGCTTTCAAAAGAAAAGTCATCGCGTGCGCCGAAACGGACGTAAATTGGGCTGCGTTGCGGTCGTTCGGAGTTCCCGAAACGTGCGTGCTGGACTGGCGGAAACAAAAGCAGAAGATTGTCAACAACAAAGATTCACGCAAAGGCTCTAGCGGACCACAGCAGGGTCGGTTTCCGCAAATTGAAGAGCTGCTCGGCGAGTATGTGATTGAGCAGTGAGCGGCATAGCGGCCCATGACGACAAAACTGCTCCAAGTGCCGGCTATGCAGTTAGCCTTAGAAAAAGGGCTAATGCGGAGCCAGTTTAAAGCGAGCAGGTGCTGGCTAACTAACTTTATGATGAGGAAAGGCTTTTCCCTCTGAAGGCGAACAGGCATATGCCAAAAATGCCGGAGGAGTACGAAGAAAAGCTTCAGTTTTCAGAGGTTCGTCCTAAACTTGTGGCACAACAACGGCTCCCTGCTTGGGTAAATCGGAAATGCCGATCAGACGCCTCTTTACTTCGACATGCCTGGCACCACAACCGTCGAGAAGAAGGGGGCGAAGCAAGTTCGCGTGCTGACATCGGGCCATGGTAAAACTAGAGTGACGACAATTCTCCGTTGCACGTCAGATAGGCACAAGCTTCCCCCGTACCTCATATTTACACGGAAGAGGCTCCCGAAAGGAGTGTTTTTCCTGAGTGGTGTGATCGTGTGTGCCAACATGAAAAATGGGTGCACGTTGCAATCAATGTCTTACTTTTTTTTTTCGTCGTGGAAACCGGGTGCGCGTTACAATCGAGGGCACGGTAAAATCGAGTAAATACGGTACGTCACCTAAAATATGAAATGCAAGCAGCAGCAGTATTTCAAGGTGAAATCAATTTGAATGAATGTTACGGAGGTTATTTTACGTGGACACTTCCCGCTCCAAATTTATGTACTCACATGTACAATTTTGCATAAAAGCTAATATTAAAAACTCCTCTAAAGCTTACATACAAATATTTGGCAGATTCTATGTACATTGAGAATTGATGTTATGCAAAGCATGAGGGTGGAAGATGACTGTTTTGTAACTTTTTTATTAAGTTAAACGTTACGAAGTGGTGCTAAAGCTATGTACACGTGCATGCACAGGCAAACATTAAACAGCCACATATGTTTTAGATAAATAGCTGTTTGCAGTTGCGTAAAGATGCCAGCAGCAACATAGACACTATTAGCAACACCAGAAGTGGCAAGCTGATATAAAGTGCTGGTTCGGAGGATGGTAGTTCAGAAGAATGCTACATATACCAACTTCAGCAAATGGCGCTTAAGTACAATTGACGTTAGCCCGACGTGACGGCTGTATTATCAGAGTCAGTGATGGAAGTAACTGTTTACTTCTTGTAGCATACTTTGGAGCACAAAAAGCACTGTTTTGAAGCAGCCGTAAGTTTTTTCAGAGCGGAAAAAAATGTAGTTTGGAGTAACTATTGGTGTTAGGAATAGATAGAAAATTAGCCATACACCAATTGGAGTTCAAAGCATCTTCGAAGCGTCTCATAAATATTATTAGTTATAAAATATATTTCACAAACAACAATCAATGTAAACTCCAAGAAACAAACAATTAAAAAGATGGTATATTGTAAAGAATGTGCTGTGAAATTAACTATATAGCAAAATACCATTCGTAGCAGAAATCGAATGAAACTGGTAAAGCTGAGAACCACATTTTAGAAGTAACCAGTCCCACATACCTAACTGTTGCCAAATAAGCAGTAGATTTCCCTATGCCGACCGATAAAAAGGCTGTCAGAGGCTTTCTCGGCCTCTGTGCATATTATCGAGGATTTATTCCAGACTTTGCACCGATAGCATCATCGTTAACTCGCCTCACAAGAGAAGACGTCACCTTTGAGGGGAATAATGAAGAGGAAGCTGCTTTTAACGATCTTCGCCAGCGACTACAAACACCTCCAGTCCTTGCCCACTTTGACGAGAGAGCTCCTACGATGCTTCACACCGATGCTAGCAATGATGGTCTGGGAGCTGTGCTTGTGCAGCAGCAAGAAGGCACAGAAAGGGTAATAGCTTACGCAAGCAGAATGTTAACACGCGCTGAGGCTAATTACTCTACGACTGAGAAGGAATGTCTCGTCGTGGTATGGGCGGTTACAAAATTTCGCCCGTATTTATATGGCCGCCCCTTCAAAGTAATTAGCGACCACCACTCACTGTGTTGGTTAACAAATCTTAAAGACCCTACCGGCCGATTAGCGCGTTGGAGTCTCAGGCTGCAGGAATTCGATGTGGCAGTCGTACATAAGTCAGGGAAGTGACATATGGACGCCGACTGTACCGTTCACCCATTGAGTCGGCGACCCTACCCGAGGAGGAAGAAACATCCTTTCTCGGTGTCCTCGACACGACCACCATTGCGCAGCAACGTGACGACGCTGAGTTGCTTGACTTAATTACCTACTTGGATGGCAGATCTCGGAATGCGCCAAGAGTTTTCGCAAGAGTGCTGTCATCGTTTTGTTTACGGGGCGGAGTACTCTACAAAAGAAATTTTTCGTCGACGGGATCTGCCTATCTACTCGTCATCCCAGCAGCCCTGCGCACCGAAGTACTGAAAGCATGCCACAACGAGGTTACCTCTGGCCACTTGGGTTACACAAGAACGTTGGCCAGGGTATAGCAAAGGTATCACTGGCCAAGACTGACCACAGCCGTGAAGAACCAGGTTCGTACCTGTCTCGACTGCCAGCGACGCAAGTCACCACCAACTAAACCAGCTGGCCTCCTGCAACCCGTACAGGTCCCAATGACTCCATTCCACCAGATTGGCATGGACATTTGGGCCCACTCCCTACTTCTACTGCAGGCAACCGATGGGTTATCGTCGCGACGGATTATCTGACCCGTTATGCCGAGACAAAGGCTATCCAAAAAGGTACAGCAGTTGAGGTGGCAAGATTTTTCATCGAGAATATTGTACTGAGGCATGGTGCAGCAACCGTCATAATCACAGACAGAGGAACCGCATTTACGGCAACTCTCTTGGACCATGTCTTGATGCTGAGTGGAACAAAGCATCGTAAGACCACCGCCTACCACCAACAAGCAAACGGGCTGACAGAGCGTCTAAACAAATCCATTGAAGACATGCTTTCAATGTACCTAGACATTGAACACAAAAATTGGGATCAAATCTTGCCATACATATCGTTTGCATACAACACGGCCAAGCAAGAAACGACCCGCATGACATTGTTCAGCTTCGTTCATGGACGGGAAGTACGAACCATGTTAGATGCAATGTTATCGCACAAAGGCGACGACATCGTCCCGGATGCCGACACGTTTACCGAACGCGCTGAAGAAGCTAGGCGACTTGCACGTTTACGGATCAGCCAGCAGCAAGAGTACAATGCAGACCGCTACAATGCTCACCGCAGAACAGTCGTATACGAAACTGGCGACAAAGTATGGGTTTGGACGCCGGTAAGGAAACGAGGACTTTCTGAAAAGCTCTTAAGAAGATACTTTGGACCGTACCTAGTGCTGCGAAGACTGAGTGATGTCACGTACGAAGTTGTTCTCGACAGTTCGTATAGTACAAGGCACCGCCAGCACCATCCTAAACTCGTTCACGTAGTCTGCATGAAACCTTCCGTCAGCGAGTGATTGTGTGAGACTTTTCTTGAGAAAACAAAAAACTTCATTACAGACTTCGCATTGGGGCGATGCTCTTTGAGAGGGAGGCAAATGACGCGTGTCTACATGTGGACGAAAACAATGATGGGGGATTTAGTGGACACGAGGTAGTGGGCCTCTAGCTTCACTCGAGACCGAAGAAGATGATCTTGTGGCTCGGCTGTTGAGAACACGCTGCTTTCGTTGCCTCAAGGTGTACCTGTGTTTTATTTGCGTTGTACCGCCACAGTATATTGATTTTCTTCAGTG